GGAATGATCACATGAAGGTGTATGAGGAGGCAAACACATGAAGGGCCCACATTGTTTGTACAATGACAACCAAATTTACCTAATTGCACTTCACCTAAATAACACTCCGTCAGAATTCTTGAAATTTCAGAAGAACTGTATGTTGACTAATTACTGTTACTCAGTTTAATAATTAATTAATTCATTTCAAAATCTAAGGCCCCTATGCCTATTGGTCGTTTCTTCAGCAAATTAAGCTGCGATGATGCCGCAGGTGTGTTTCTTTCTTGGTTGGAAATTGGCGATTCACAGGTTAATTATTTCAATAATGTCATTTGAACGCTGATTTGAATTAGTAGTTGTTTTTATCAGTTGGTTGTGTTTACTTAACCAACTTTAACTCCTTCTAAATACGGAGTCGCTGTGATAGATTATAATACAAGGCGAAATAGCGCTAGTATCCCGTGATTTACAAAATAGACATCAACTTTCTATATAACTATATGAAGATTGCGTAAACTTTTACTTATTTATGTGTTTCGTTTAATCATTTAATATATTTTTTGTTGGGAGCATTCTACTCAAAGCCATGGCCTATCCACGCGGGTTAAAGAAGAGTAGGATCAAAATGGTGTGTGTATAATTCTTGATATAATCATGTTTCAGTGTCGTAAATGTTGAAAATAATACAGCGGGAATATAGAAAATAAAAGAAAGGGTCCGAACTTATAATTTAATCCCATTTATGTTTTCCTTAGGAAACAAAACTATAACCCTAGACTCGATCGTCCTATAAATAAATGAGTTGTACTAGTAATCTTTAGTGTGACCGACCATAAGTGAAAAAAAATTAAATTTCTTTTGTTGCAGTCCTGGATTAAGAAAACCAGAACACGTAAAACTCTTGTGTCTTCAGTATTCTATTTCTCTTTGTTCTTACAAATGATTTGTGTGTGTCTTATGTGTTTAATTCGCAACAATCATAACCACTTGAGTTGCGCAACTGAACACAACTTAAATACTCGTAAATAGTCATAATACTCGTATATACTCTCTCTCTCTATATATATATATAGAGCTAGTTCAAGTGAGAATGCACCTTGGTGAAAGAAATAAGAATAAAATATAGCTTTTGGATCTGATGCATCGTGCGGCTCAGATTGCATTCAGCACTCAAATTTCGAGATAGTACATTTTTAAAGGATTATGGTGCATCTCGACATGATGCATTTTCAAACCATCTTAGTGCACCTAATTTTGATGCAATCCTAACCCTTAGATCTCCTAATCTAATGCACTAGATTCATTCTTATTTCTTTCATTAGATTGCATTCTCACCTGAACCAATATATATATATATATATATATATATATATATATATATATATATATATATATATATATATATATATATAGTCAATGAGTTGTTTTTATGTGTTTCTAAGGTGCACATGTAAAATGTGAGCTTTCTCTCACATTTTGCAAAAGGCCCAATTTTTTTATAATATCAATACACTTAGGTGCTCAATTTGTCATAGTTTCAATATCTTCCATATATATATAGTCAATATAGTCCATAAGTACAGTCAATAATTTTCTGGCAAAAAAATAAAAAAATAAAGGTAAGTTTGAAAAATCAGTTCCTAGATATCACGGATGAGAGAATTATTTGTTACTGGGCCAATGGTCAATGGAAGAGGTGAATTAACATTACAATATTACATTACCAGAATTGAAACACTCTCTGTCAAAGAATATCACTCCGTAACAGTTTACTACACTCCTTGTCCCCTCTGGTCTCATTCCTTTGTTTATTGGTCAATTCTGTTTTTTTTTCCATTCATTTTTCTTGCTTTGATCAGTACATTTCATATTTTTCCAGAATATTCTATTACTCTTTACGTCTTTTATATATTGTTGAAATATCGGAATAATAATATTGCTCTCTTGAATTATGAAGTACATGATAGAGTATATATAGGAGAGACTGCTAACACAACTAGGAATATAGAATAGAAACTAACATACAACATCTACCACAAATAGGATTAGGAAGCTGACTAATAATGAAACACTACCATAACCAATACTACAAGAAGTACTATTAGTATTATTATATTGTCTAACATATATGTTCAATTATTTTTGTGTTCATTATTAAAAATAATTTTATATGGGAGTATTAAAAATAAATGGAATCAAGCCCATGACTCCTCCATTCTCTCTGATAAGTGGCATTTCGATCTCATATTAAAGAAATTATTCCCCATGCACGCGCCCGGCCACACAGTGTTGCCTTATTATCGCATTGTGTTTTAGATTTATGTTGGAAAGAACTAATAACATAATAAGATAATAGAGAGGAGATAAGATGATTATACATAATATACATACCCTTTTATATCTAAAATATACTCCCTCCGTCCTGGAAAACATGGGAGTTTTGATTTTGAAGAGGGATTTAAGAAGAGTGTATTTTGGTATTGAATTTCCAAAAATGTCCTTTGATATGATGGGTAAAAGTATGATTTGATGGATAGATTATTACGTAGTAGTAAAAAGGTATGATGTGATAAGTAGGGTATAAAAAAGTAAGGGATAAAAGTGACTTTTTAATAGAAATGAAAAGTGTTTTTTGGGACGGATGAAAAAAGAAAGGAGAAAGGTTTTCAGGGACGGAGGGAGTACATTTTTGGAATTTCATGGTGGATAAACCAGTAATTCAAACTAAACCACACAATACAAATAAACTAAGGCGTGACACAAAAATATTACAACACAAGTAATTAACTGTGAGATGTGATATATATGTAGGCTGTAATATCTTCTATGTCACTAATGGGAAAAATAGAAGTAAGAAAGAAGTAAGCCACAACAAAAATGTTTACGCATTTCGGAGCAAAACCTCCTACACCTACGAGACCCACATACGTGTAACGGTCTTTCCACCAAAGAATCACAAAGATCACAAAATCAATTATAATAGATTTTATCTAATGTATTGACTTATTCTTCTTTGCATCTAACTTTTTATTTCAAATTTGAATGCTCCGTAATTTGTAATTATTGATTCTAATTTAAGATGAAATAAGAACAATTGGATTGGGTAATAAGAGACTTGAGCTGAGTGATATTAAAAGATTGAATCCAATCGATTAGTTAGTTTAACTCAAGAACTTATATACCGATTATTTCTCTTAATGATAGAATTTGGGATGAGTATGGACAACTGGATTAGGTAATAAGACACTTGGGCTGAACCACATTAAAAGATTGAATCCAATCGATTAGTTAGTTCAACTCAAGGGCTTATGTACCGGTTTATTTTCTCTTCAAGTTCCGATGTGGGATACTCTTTAACACTCCCCCTCAAGTGGACAACCGGGCCATTTTGAATCTAATCGGTGACCACTTGCAAAATGGACTCTCATTCCCTTGAATTATTATTTTTTTTGAGCGCCAACACCTAAAGAACCACGAGCCCTGGGTATGGACTTCCATAGTAGCAATCGTGTTAAACGGGCCACAGGCCGTTGGGTACATACTCCATACGGACAACTGGGCTAAAGACTAACGGCCGCTAGGAAAGAACGTCTAGACGGACACCTTGACAAACGAGGTGGGCTAAAACCTGCTCTGATACCATGATAGAATTTAGAATGGGGTATGGACATCTGGATTGGGCAATAAGACACTTGGGCTGAACCACATTAAAAGATTGAATCCAATCGATTAGTTAGTTCAATTCAAGGGCTTATGTACCGGTTTATTTTCTCTTCAAGTTTCGATGTGGGATACTCTTTAACACTTAAATTTTCGAGTAATATATTTCTCAATAATTTAAGGTCAAAGTTTAAAAATGTTTAAAAAATCAAACAATGAAGGGGTTTTTTTTGGGAGAGATCAGAGATACTAAATACGAGATAAGAGATGATATAATTATATTTATTGGTCAAGCTATGGTTGAAAATGAAGATTTGGTTTAACCTTTTAACTGTTTTATTTTCTTTTATTTATTTAGGGATCTCAAGAGTGGGGGTGGGGTGGGGTGGGGGGGGGGCACATGGGGTTGGGTGGTCGTCCTCAAGTGGAAAGGAGCAACTAACACAGCTTCAATTCCTGCTAAACTTTAGTTGGGAGAGCAGCAGGGAGGGGTCGTTCATTTCTTTATCCAATGCAATTGTCTTGTTACCATCCAACATCTCTTTTTTGTCTACATATACTATACGCTACACCCCTTAATTAACTTCCCTCTTGCTTTCTCGTCTTTGTTTTGATTACAATTTTAAAGCTACGAGACAAAATTTTCGTGAGACGAATGATGTATTATTAGTTTATTACTGAGTTCGTCTCCAAAAAAATCTGATTTTCTTTTCTTATCTGTCCTAAAATTATGTTCTAATTTTTCACTTGCCCCTTTTTTGAAAAAGTAAAAGAGAAATATATTTATCTTGTGTAAATTAATTCTAAGACCATGTGTAATTGGCGTGTGGAGGCACTTGATCGACCTCCTCCTTCACGCACTTCTTCCATAAGACATTACTAGTGGCGAGGTGGCCCGCCCTCTTGTGGATGATGGCTATCACGCCTTTTCGCTCTCCTCTTTTATTTTTTCTAAATTTCTAACCGATAGAGATTCAACACACTTCTACCTCAATCAATCAAAATTATTCAAAATTTCACATTCTCATCACTTCCTTTAACCATCGCACACGTCTATTTTTATCACTCTACGTCATACCTTTTTACACCTTGTCAAACCCGCCATAACACCTCCCCTAACCATCGACTTTTCGCAACTTCGTGTCTTTTTTCAATATCTTTTCGTCACTTTTCTTGATCTTCGTAAAGCCAGAATGAGAAATTCTTTTTGAGACGGTGCAGACATTATACTATTCCATTCTCTCTCTCTCACTTTCTTTCAATTCTTTGTTGGTGTGGTCCAAGGCCATCTCCTATGCCCTTTAAAGCTGGTTAGTTATGATCACTTTCTACATAGTCAATATCTAACTACCTCACCATACCCCCCCTTCTCTCACTTTTTTCTTCTTCTTCTTAGCTCTCTGCCCGCCCTATACTTACACTACTGCGTACTATTCCATCTTCCATTCTTCACACTTCATTTCCACCCTCACCTCCGCCCTCTCGACACGTATCACACTCACTTTGCTCAACAAATCTAACGTCTCAACCTTTTTTTTGTCCCAAATTCACTCACCTTTGTCACAAAAGTGGGTTCGTTGGGTTTATTTCCTTGAACAAAAACACAACAGTTTCTGAAGTTATTTGTAAGATCATATATATAAGATGTCTAGCCGAAGATCGAGGCAGTCGGGGACTTCGAGGATTTCCGACGATCAGATCATCGACCTCGTTTCCAAGTTGCAGCAGCTCTTACCCGAGCTTCGCGCCCGTCGATCCTCCAAGGTACATAGTACGTTTAATGTCAAAGAATAAACTCAACCACAAACTCATCAAACTTCACGAAATATATTTTAATTTCTAAGGCTTATGATATACAACTAGCTGCATGGTATAATAATCCTGAACTTGAACTTTTGGTTGAATTGATCTGACAATAAGTTGTGGGAAAATTTGAAAGAAAAAATGGGTTATAGTTTGGTGGATGGAGTTTGGGATGAGAATGGAAAGTGGAAGAATAAAACATTACCTAATCAAAGAGATGAAGAAACAGTCACAAACAAACGTGTCATTATTATTGTATATGCAATAATGCAATGTACATAAAATTTGGGGTTTCTATTTTATATATTTGGTCCAATACATAATAATTTTACCCTTCTGATGCAGTTGCCGGTTTAGGTGAAAACTGAAATTTAATACTAACCTAAGAGTTTGTGATGGACTTCGTGGTCGTGTGAATACACACAGTTTTGCTTATTAAGGATTGGAAAGTTTGTGATCTATGCAGAAAATAAGACTGTGTGTAATGACGGAGGCTTGATAGGATGCCACCCAGACTCCCTGTAAGCGGATTGGTGTGAGTAGAAAAACGTACACGTGTTATGAAAGTGTGTTACATTTTGATTAGTTAAAAAAGAAAGAGAGGCATGGCTCATCACAGGCGTGATGACGGTCACGCTCAAAAGAGTAAACACCCGGTCACGCCATGTGCGGTGTGGGATGGAGGGGAATAGTGGAACACGAAGGAGGATCACGCCCCCGTTCTCGCGCCTCCCTATAAATAGTCGAATATCAAGTTATTAATATGCAATTTTATTTTCACTTCATTTATATTAGTTGCTTCATTTTCTTTTTTTTTTTATTTTTAGTTTTTTTCTTACTTTCAGTTTTTAAATTTTTTAAAATTTGATTTCCGTAATTTTTTTCGGCTTTTAAGTTTTTAATTATCTTTTTCAAATTTAAATGTCAGATTTTAAGAATTTGTATTACTTAGATATATTTAATGTTTTTAGTTTAATAATTTAAATTAAATTAAGTGTGGATAGATTTATGTGAAATGGGAAGGGAGAGGGAACCACACCCCATAGTCTAAGGCCCAAGTCAAGTCATGTTATGCAACTTAGAACTTTTTTCTAATATAGTGTCTCCGTCTCTAAATATTACCCGGAGTAGTTTCATATTTAATTTTGACTTTACGTAATTTTAGAAAAATGTTACTCACAAAATTTGTTTTTAAGTATTTGACTTTGTCAAATCAAGCTTTTGAAAAGGAGCTTATTTCTAATGTATCATTTTCTTTCTTGTCACGCCTAGCCCAGATTTCTTGATTTGGTTCACGTGTGGGGTCATATTTATTCTTAATAATAATAATAATAATAATAATAATAATAATAATAATAATAATAATAATAATAATAATAATACAGTATTACTAACAATTAATAATAATAATACTCCTTTCGTCCATAAAAAAATACGCATGTTTCATTTTTTTGCATTCTATAAAATACTTCTACCCACATCTAAAATGTCTAAAATTTACGATATTTCTCTTTTATTGTGGGTATAAGTTATTTTGAAAATTATTTTTTAAAAAATTTGAGACAGGATAAAAGTGTTTTATGGATATATAAAAATTAAAACATAACAGTTTTTAGGGACGGGAGAGTAATTATCACAAAGCTAAGGTTTAAAAACCAGAAAAAAAAAGAGAAAACAATATGAAAAAGTATCACAATCCGAAATAATTTGAATAAATTTTATATATATATATATATATATATATATATATATATATATATATATATATATATATATATATATATATATGGGCCGGTTCCTGTGAGAATGCACCTTGTGGAGAGAAATGAGAATAAAATCTAGTCGTCAGATCTGATGCATCGTACGGCTCAGATTGCATCCTGCGCTCAGATTTTGAGATAGTGCATTTTCGAAGGTTTATGGTGCATTTCGACGTGATGCATTTTCGAACCATTTTGGTGCATCTAATTTTGATGAAATCTTGACCATTAGATCTCACAATCTAAAGCACTAGATTCATTCTCATTTCTCTCCTAAGATTGCATTCTCACCAGAACCAATATATATATATATATATATATATATATATATATATATATATATATATATATATATATATATATATATATATATATATATATATATATGTGTGTGTGTGTGTGATGACTAGGACATGTTGATTTACCGTTAAGAAAAGTTGTACGTCTATATGGACAGCAGGTACGAACTGAGCTAATTGATCTGATCATATCCATCCTTACACGTATTATAATAAGCCCATTAGATAATTAATGACTTTATTTAAGCACGATTTAATTAATTATGGCATGGTCCACATGCATATATATAGCACTCTAAACAAAGACATTAGTCTAATGCATGCATGTATTAATTATTCTCCCTAACCTTTTTTTCTTTTTCGAAAATGGTATGATCACAAATAAATAGTTCACAAACTTTACAAACTTGTTTTTGAGAATTTTGTAAAATGTTTGTTTATGACTCTAGCATTACTCTTTCGTTTTACGGTGGCTAATGTAACATTTTTTTCATCAGACATGTGCATCGAAAGTGTTGCAGGAAACGTGCAACTACATAAAGAATTTGCACAGAGAGGTTGACGATCTGAGCGAGCGCCTCTCCCAACTCCTCTCCACCATTGATGCTGAAAGCCCGGAGGCTTCCATCATCAGGGGATTGATCACCTGATCGATCGATCCCCCACCATTATCGATAATCTATTATTTCCTATATCAATAATAATAATTCATATATACATATATTCTCCATTATTGGATAATAATATATATAAATATATCTTAAGTACTATATAAATATAAATATAAATCCTCAGCTGGAAGTCAAGGAGATATCAACATGTATCCATGCAACTGCTAGGTTGCCCATGAGGGAAATTGGTGGATCCGGCCAGTAGATGGAGCTGGTTATTTCATCGGACGGTCCATATTAATTAAGCTAGTATAGATAGAATATTTATGTTTTGTTATATATATAATCCTTGTACCCTCTTCTTTATTTCCTAATGATATATTGTACTATTACCAATGTATTGATTATCCCACTGCACCTTTTAATATATGATATGGATATTTGATGTACCCATAAATAGGTACGCAGTGATCCTTTTTTTGGAGTTAAATCAGATATGATCAGATCAGACCAGATTAGATCAGAACATAAACAACTTTAAATATAACTACAATGAGATCAAATCAGATCAGAACTTATATATTTCAATCAGATCAGAACCATTCAGGTCAAGTGAAGAAAAATGACCTATCTTTTGACATATAATGACATAAAAAAATAATTTTAATATTATTTAGGTATAATAATGTTTCGAAATAATTTATAAAATAAATCTAATAAAATCACTTTTGTATCAATATTTAATATAAATATTTTATAATCAGTAGTCAAAATTTATCAACTTTAATTATAAAAAATTATAATGAGTGCACAAGTTTATCTTTGGAAGGACATGATAGCTAGAAATTGTAGCTAATAGTGCACAAGTTAGGGAAGGTTTTGATTGGTAGTGGTGCAACATGAGGAAGTAGTTAATGACTAAGGCGGAATCAACGGTTGTCAGTCAGTCCCAATCTTGGCCACAATTACTCCTTCCACTTAAAAAAAGACTAAATTCCATAATTGGTCCTTTATAATATGGGAGCTTCCATATTTAGTCCTCTATTATCAAATATTACCCACGTAGTCCTTTTTTAAGGGTGCTTTTCCACAAATGGTCCTTTTTTTGATCTTCTGCCATGTTGGTATTAATTTAAAGGCTAAAAGTATAATTTGACATCAACATTATGTCTAGTGACGTGTTCTGATATTGGTTAAGCGGATAACACAAAAATAATGACTATGATTGTGAGCTATGACTTTGACGAAAGACCACATTTGTAGACTATGGTTGTAGTAAAAAGCGACTGTAATTCATAAACGATGGAAACGTAACAGCCTTTGGAATTGTATATGACAAAAAAGATATATTATTATTGCGAAATTACACTTTTAGCCCTCAAATTAACACCAACATGATAGAATTAAGATAAAAAAGGACTATTTGTGGAAAGATACCCATAAAAGAAGGACCACTGGAGTAATATTTAATAATAGATGACTAAATAGGGAAACCCCGCTGTTATAAAGGACCAATTATGAAATTTACTCTAAAAAAACGTTTGTCACCAGACAAATAATCTCAACTGGCAAAGGTTATTGGTGAACTTTTCTAGTGAGTTATAGGGTGGGGTCGAGTTCGAATCGGAAGCGGCTCATTAGATTCGGCTCTTGCAAGAGAGATTGACCGCACAATCCCGGACCATTTGTGGCATATCCCACGATTTAGCTCTTCCACCAACCTTAGGACAAGGTTGTAAGACTACGGGAGACCCTTGGGTTGGGGTCGGGGTTCTACCTTAAAAAAAGGCTCGAGGGATGGAGTATAACTTAGGAACAATCGGAAGTAGCAATAGCTTGTGGTATTTTTTGTCCAATTCCTTGAATTTTGACTATAGTTATTAAATTGGTTCAATTTTGAATACATAAACTAATTTGAATTTTTTTAGATAATAAATATACCTCTAGGATACTTTGTGCAGACAAAGTCTATAAGTCTGATCCTAACATCCATGAAAATATACATTGCACAATAGTGTGGTTCTTTTTCCTCACAATGTTATACTCTCTTTGTTCCATATTTTTTTTAGATTTCTTTTTTGGGCTTAACTAAGCTCAAATTAATGTTTATTCTAGAATTTTTGTGTACCTCAATAGTGTACATGTGATTTTTCTTCATAAAAATTCTTGAGGGACCTCTACATGCAACTTGGATATATGCATATTTTCCCAAAGGCCATCTCAAAGAATGGATGGCGGGCCCGTAGTGCATGGACGTGTTGTAACGGGCCAATCCCAGTGCCCATATACGTTTGTCCAATTATCTTTTTTTATTAATATACGGAGTATATTATTAACTTCAATGTGTTGTCCTTTCTAATTTCTATTAAACTTTAATATATGTCCCTAATAATTTTAATAATATCTCCATCCCAAATTATTCGCTCACTTGGAATATTGACAATGGATTCATCGAGAGTTCACCCGAATTCGAGTCCCAACAAAGGTGGAGGTGCTGGCTTTTTGTTCGTCGGTAGTTTGATAAATGTATGAACAGATACTATGTCGTAATATAGACATAGAGTCAATAACATTCAAAAATAAAATTTAATAAATAAAAGACGTAAAAAATGAAACAATGAACAAAAACTAAAAATTTTCATAACAGAGCATGCAACTCCAAAGCTGATATTGTTTGATTGTAATTAAGTTTTATTTGTTGAAATGTGTCGTGTTAGCATAATCAGTCTGGCATCTTCAAATATATTAGATGAATTTTATTTTTCAATCATACAAAAATTTTACTCCCTATTACATAATCGTATATATAAATTGTAGGGTTCTTTAGAACCCGGGACCTAGGAGACTAGGTAGAAGAGTATCGAACGAGTATTGAGTGCGTTAAGTTGCAAGAGTCGAGAAAAGTATATTAGCTTGATAGTAAAAGTGAACGTCCTTCTCCCCCTTCCGAACCGGGGCATTTATACCAAATACAGTTGGGCCTCCCAAGCGTTAGTCTATGGCCTAACGGGCTGGGCCCATCAAGATCCAGCCGTTCGACCGACAGCGCCAACAATATGATTACAAGCCAGGGTGGCTACAAATGAAGAGTGACAATAGGGCGGCTACAACTAATATTCTCACAGACAAGTGTATCAGGGTGTCTAATTGTGGGCATGCTGATTGGACGACGCATGCAGGCCACCATGTCCTAGTGGGCCATGACGCGTAGCTGGTGGTCGAGGCCGAACACGCATGTTTAGATGGTTTGAGGTCGTCTATGGAGGTTGGACACGGTTTTCCCCGAGTCCGAGTAGGTGCTTCTAGGCTGAGCAGGGATATGTATCCAGATGTGGTTGTCACATTGAGACCTTGGTTTCTTCTTAAGTTCCGCTTAGCCGAGCGCGTATGAATCGTTCGATCTATTGGGCCTTGTTGGGTCTCTCATTCTTGTTGGGCCAGATACTCCCATTTCGAGGTATCTATCATAAATAGTTTGGCATTATGTATGAACATTTTATAATATTTTTTGATATTTTATTTTGACATTGTAAACCTACTTTTTGTACTCGGTATAAAAATATTAAACCTACTATATATATATATATATATATATACACACACACACACACACACACACATATATTGTTAGCGGATATTTGTATATAGGTTTTTCTGTAACGTATTGGGCAGGCCCATTTCTGTACTTGTATTTATATTAGTTCACGATTAATGAAAACCAAATAAGAGTTTCCGCTAAAATTCTTTATGGTATGAGAGCCAAAACCCTAGGCTTCTTGGCGTTTGTGTTTCTGCTCTCCGGCGTGCGTACGATTGTCCGACGTCGTATGCCTTTTTTTTTCTTCACCGATCCGTCTAACATAAATAACATGTTTTAGTTTTAAATAAATATTTTATTGCAAGCGGGTGTCTTTTAAAAAAAGATTAATCTCAACTATGCAATGTTCACCGATAACTGTCATTTAAAAACAAACACCTGTTATGGATATGTCTATCGTTCAATTATCATACTCAATTACTCAAATGAGTTGTGGCATGACCTGATGTGAAACGTTGTCAAAAGTCGAAGGAATTGAAGTAAAAAAATTGCAGGCCCATATACGGTCGGGCCACCTGGCCCACAAGTTTGATGCAGCACAAATATGACTCCATGCATGGAAATATGTTAGCTATGGGCCGATGCGGAAGAATAGATTAAAAACCAATGGGCCATTATTGTCGCATATGTGGCCTGCGGTTCGCCCACAAAAATTGGACTGGTTTATCGGAGCCCACTCGTGTCCGTCCAACAGGCTGACGGCGACTACCTTTTCTATTCAGTCTGTTAATGAAATGACGGTTGTTTCCTTTAGATGAAATGTTGGCCCACTATAGAATGGAATCAATGGATTGAGAGGAATATCGGTACATGGAATTCGAGATAATATTCTAATTTTACTGTTTGGTAGCACAAAAATATGTGGATTAAAGATTGGTAATACTAAAAATGAATTGGAATTAGAGAATTTAATTACATCCAAACCAATTTCATAGAATTTCAATTTCTAATTCAGTTCCAATTCCGTCAATTTTGTATACCAAATGAATTCTTATATGTCTTTTAAAAAAAGTTCTATTTCGATTACATTCACCTTATTTATAATAATTAAAAGTATATAAGAGGGAGTTTATATGCAGATCAATTTTTAAGAAAAAAATTATTTATTTAATATAAAAAGGTGGATTAGATAAAATGGTGGTAGATATAACAATATTTTTTAAAAAAAACCTGGTATTATATTGTCTAGAACATAGTTCAAGTGGTCGAAAAGGAATGTAAGAAAAAAAAACATTGTCCTTATATCCAATTCTTAGCAACAAAATATGGAGTAGTATAAATTGTTTGTGTTTATTAGAATATCAATTTTGTGTACATTATCACATAAATTATTTCTGTTTATTAAAAAACAAATATTTATTTAATAAATAAAAAATACTTATTTTACTCATATGTAGGTCCATGGTGAATCTTAGATTCACCATATAACTTGTCTATACAAATGAGAGATAGATTGCAACTCTGCACTAAGTTTTTTTTGAGAGTTGTGACAACATTTTTAGGTTGATTATTTGGGTGCTCCATCCAAAATCATTCTGATAAAACTCAAATTATTGTTGGAGAAATTATCGAAACTTGGATGAATCGAGAGTCGTGTAGAACACTTTCAGATTGATATTTTGGTTGTTCCATCCAAAATTCAATCGGATAAAACTCGAAAGTATCAAGAAGGAAATATGAAAATTGCTATGAAAATCCGAACGCCTTCCGACCATGGATACACGAGAATTTATGGAGTTGCGGTGAGAAGAGGAGACGCGAACGCGTCTCTTACCCAAGACACGCGATTCTTCGCGCAGAACTCTTCAAAAAATCGGCGCTATCCTTAGGGAATTTTCTTTTAAAAAAAATTCGAAAAATAAAATTTCATTTGAGTTTTTTTTAACATAGCACTTTGCCCAAAATAAAATTTTTTTGAAGGGCTGTCCATTGGACCCCGCAGGGGCTGCCGCCCCTTGAACCCTGCTCGGGGGGCCCCGATAAGACAGGATTTTTATCGTAATAAACTCAATGAAGCGTGCACTCCGCACCACCAAACTTTTTTAATGATTATTAGGATACCATTGGTCATAGTTTTTCCAATTACACTAAAATATATACTACCTCCGTCCCGCTATATTTGTCCACTTTTGACTTTTGGAACTGTTCATCTAAGCACTTTGACTCATCAAAATCTCTCAATGTGTAAGCCTAAATATAGTCATGTGTGATCTTGTTTGATTTGTCTTAACATATAGATTATTAATATATAATTTCTATAATTTTTTAATATATAAATTACAAGATAAAATGGATTAAAGAAGTGCATTGGATGGTGTGCAAAAATGAAAGTGAACAAATATAGTGGGACGGAGGGAGTACTAGGTAACAATTATTGGTCAAGAACTTATAGGAATTGTGATGAATTTTTGAAGTGCTTGATGACCAAACACGCTAGAAGCTTTATAGACGCCGGGAAGGACTAAGATCGAGCTTCCGTTTCCGACTTTCTCCAAAAATCGTGTCGAGTAGTTCAAATTGGCAAGGCGCTTTCCTTCCGTTTCCGACTTTCTCCGCTGAGTTTTCTGAAAGTAAAAGCCGCCGTTTGTAAGGGGTAACATTTATTTCAGCTAAATATAATAAACAAGGCAAAAGCTGCTTATCATCTTTGTCCTCCCAGGGCACCTAGCTTTGTGTTGCAAGACAATCGATTTCGTTGGCTATCTCGGATGCCTATGGATCCATCGCTTGAAACCTCTTTATCTATTCAAGATCCTTTGGCTATGGCTGAGAACAAAAGTACTGCACAAGCAATACGAATGCATCTTTATTTTCATTGACGATGAATTCCATATGTGTAGTATCTGCAGACAATATCTAAACTGCCTGCATGTAAGTGACGTCTTTTACCGAATTACGATTTTTTCCCTAACTTGTTATTCGTTCAATGCTGATGATTTAAACAAACACCATATGGCTCAAAGTATTGTCTTGATGAGTTCTTAATAACATCCACAGGCTCGTTCGTGGTTCGCATCAAGGCTTGACGAGCGCTTACAAAAACTAAGCAGTGAATCGGCATGATGTATTAATAAGAGGTGTTTTTGTATCCCAAATTCTGCTCAACAACAACAATAGATTAGTGTATGCAGACCTTACCCAAACTTAGAAGTAGAAACTCTGGTTCAACCATAGAGAAGAAGTATATATAGACAATTAATTAACATGGAGTAGTTAGTTGTTATTGAACGTACAATTCTGTAATAGGCATGTACCTGTCTATCTATATATGCACATCTGCCTTCGATCTGGGGGCTCTATATAAATGCATTTCGTTTCCTAATTCCTCCCTTCTCTAGTAGGTGCTCTCTCCATGGCCAACAAAAAGAAATTGCAAACTTGTTTTTGGGACAGGGGTAGTATATTTAAAAACAGAGAAAATTACCTAAGATAAGACTAAGTACGTCATCGTAGATTCACATGAATGGGACCAATAATTATTTTTACCTGGATGGGACCTATAAGGAAGAGAGAACATAGGTGTGTGGGCAACTGGCCTTGATTTAGTCATATTCCTGTAAAATGGTTGTCTGTGTTTGTCTGGTGTACAAATGGGGTACCTTATTTTGGTGTACCTCTAGATTTATTCTTCTTGTAATTATTCTTAAAAATATGTCCAAAGTATCTGCAAAAATCAGATACTCATTTTTATTATTTTAACACAATAATTTTTATTATTATTCTTTCTATAAAAGAAATATAAATATATTTGTATAGCCAAATATTGCTCATCATATACAATTTATAATGTTAAAGAATATATAATGTTAAAAAAATTAAAGATTCTCAATTTGGAACCCGGATTTAGTAACTCAAGTACTCCGTATGAGGCAATGTTTTTTCACATGATCTGAATGGTTCTGATCTAGCCTGATCTGAACTGATTTCTATATAAAAAAAGTAAAAACTAGTAAAAATAAGTTGAAAAAAATATTAGCCTAAGTTTTGAGATTTGGGTATGAAATAGTGGCTTTAAGTCTAAAATCCAAATAACTGTTATATACTCTCTTTATTCCAGTGTGTTTGTCTAATTTCACTTTTTGAATCAAATAGAATAAATCTTGAACTTCAATTAGACAAAACCCGTAATATATGTTTGCATGAAAATATTTTTATTAGATTTATCTACTTGAAACCTTTCATAATTTTATTTAAATATATTATTAATATGTAATATTAATTGAGAGTAATTGAAACTCTAAATTTATCCACTTTAACTCAAAAAAATCAAACTTGACAAATACATTACAGAAATGTCTAAATGGTAGTCTATTGACTGTTAATATGAAAATGAGTTTGTCTGGCAAAACATATGGCTAAGTGGCTAAGCACATCAGGCCAAGTCCACGTCCATCAAATGGGAATCCAAAGTTCTTTTCTTTGTTCAGTCCAATGTCTTGTGATAGGCATTAATATTTGGTTTGTAAGGTATTTGTGATTTGAGCGAGGTGGACTTTGGAAATTTGATATTCCTTCCGTTTTAAAATATTCTTCCAATTTCGGTTTATGAAGTTTGACTAAAGTTAATGAAACTCGTTCCATTAGAATAAAAATAATATGGATGGCCCAAATCATGACCCAAATCTGGAGGCCCAAAACTCTGTCTATTAGAATAAAAGGACATACAAACCTAATTATCATCAACAATTGGTGGAGCAAAATTTCACAAATGCTCTACCAAATCGGCATGTAGGTTGAGGTGTGTATGCTGGTTGTGTAATCCAAACAAGTTCAAGTCTTGTTGTGTGGCATCCACCGGTTTGACGTTCTCAAAAACGTCATTTGGATCGTATTCGCATATCGCGTGTCTTTTATGTTTGAAAATCATGTTATGTAGTATAATAAAAGCATGCATAACATGTCTTAATTATTTTGGTGACCACGCACGAGCCGGGTTTTGGTTAATATGTCATCTCTACTGTAGAACTCCAAATACACGTTCAATATCATTTTCTTGCTGATTCTTGGTATTTGGCATATTTATTTATTTTCTCATCCGGAGGATACAATATTATTTTTACGTAGCCGAATACTTCTGGGTATATACCGTTGTCAGCAAAATAATACAAACGCTTGTATTCCACTCTGAAACTGTGAATGTAATATCAGGTCTGGTACCTTGAATGATTTCATTGAAAATATCTGGTTGATTGATAATGCTTAGGTTGTTGTTTGAACCTGCAACACCAAAGAAAACATGTTACAGAGTATATCTAAAGATCTTGTGAGGCAGCAGCGAATCATACGAAAGCGACGCCTAAAGTGTTCGTCGGCATGGGCAGAATTTTCCGCAGAGTAATCGGCCACAAGTCGGTCGTGATCACCTACGGTGTGCATAACATAATTTATAGGAAAAATAGTATGGAAATTTAAATTTAGTTGGGATTAAAAAATAAAGCATATGAAGGATTTAAATATTTATACCTATTTAATCTCGTCGCAAAAGTGTATTATTTCTTCTTGGCTCCGACATATTTCCGATTTTTGCATGTTCGGATAGAATTTTTGCCTCTCCCACTATCACGTTTAAGAACAAAATTTCGGCTTCATCCAAAGAAGAAGAAGAAGAATAAGAAGAAGTCATCGCCGTATCACATGAAGGAAACGATATTGTGGCAAAATAAGAATATTATACGAATAAGAGTAGAATAAAAAATTAAAAATAAGATAATTTTCTTTGTTTGAAAATGAAGGTAAAAAATGGAAAAGAATTTGAAGGGGATAGATGTTTAAAAATGGTGAGTGGGGAGTGTGTTTAAATAAAACAAAATTATAATTTTTAATTTTTTGCTTTTAACAAATGGAATTTAAATAAAAAAAGAAATGACCGTTAAACGATCAAATTTGGGAAAAAGGAATATACACGAAGAACGAGAAGGTAATCTTGTCTTTCCCGTTCCAGCATAGGAGGGCGGTGTTTCCCTTCTCATCCCGCTATCCATCCCAGCTTCTCTCCACCTCTTCACACGGCACACCCAAGTCCTATATTCGTTCAATTGCAAAACATTTATTTCGTGAATAGTAGAATTTCATATAAATCCAGGGGAATTTAATTAAATAGCATTAAAACATAATGACTTTCCTTAAATAGTATGATATGTGTTTTTTTCGCACTTTTAGTCATTATTCAAGTAAATATTCGCTATACCTGGACATTATTTCTCGTTCTAGACATTATTAAGTGTTATTTAAAAAATAAAATAGTTTAAGTACAATTTAGAAAAATAACTTAAATTTTAATGTTATTTAGTATAAATATTTCATAAATCAAATGTTCATATCTACAAAATGACACACACAATAACAAAAATATTGGTCACCTGTCCATGATGCCTCGAGCCCGACATAATTTGGGAACACCTAATCAAGTTGTTAAGATTTAGGCAACAAAAAATGTGGTACTCTACATACCAATACATTTATTGGGCCTTAGGGCATGTCGTTTCAAGGATTATGGACTACAATTTTCAATTTCTTGACCTGTTTCTTGACTAGTGAGGCTCACCTATGGTTTGCTACTTTGCTTAGAGAAAAAAGAGATTGCTCAAACTCAAACAACTTATAAATCTAATGTTTACAAAGTGATATTTAGACTAATTTTTGTTGTAGGGGACACTTAAAACTAGCCAATAATGAAGTATGCTCACACCCAAAAGGTGAATATGGCATAGGCCGTAGGCGAAAATCGTTAAGGGGTATATGATCCAACAAGACAAGATATGATTTTATATATATATATATATATATATATATATATATATATATATATATATATATATATATATATAATATATATATAAAATATATATATATGAAATAATATATATGAAATAATACGTTTCAAAATGAACACCATAAATTAGATAAAATTAAAGTGAAACTTCAATTTCAATAACATAAAAAGAGAGGAGTTTCTCGTCTTCTTTGAGAAAAAATAATTTTGAAAATTAAAAGAAAGGGCAATGACAAAACAATGTCGTTTATTTTCTTTTTTTATCTCGTCAGTACAGATTTAATATTACAATTCACTTTTCTTAATTTCGGTACAATTTTCACATAGAAAATTAAAAACTGAAGTTTGGAATGGAAAAAATTAAAGACTTTCTTTTAATTTTCAATTCTCTTTTGTTTATGCATTGCTATGGAGTGAGGCTATGTTCTCATCAACTTATATTTTTTACTCATTGGAATCAGATCAAATCAGAAAGAGCTTTAATTCCTATAAATTTTGCTCCCTCCGTCCCGAAATAAATTACAATATTCCCTCACATTTTTGTCCCTAAAAGGATTACAAAATCAATAACTTTATAGTGATTTGACTCTTTTCCCCTCCCCTTTTCTTTTCTGCCAGCCACTATTCACACAGTATTTGGGGGGATTTGGGGGTAATTTGGGGAAAAAAAATTTGATTTGACTCTTCCTTAATTTCAACTAAAAGGAAATATTATAATCTAAAGTGGGACGGAGGGAGTATTATATTCAGATCAAATCAAACTAAATTAGACCATATCAAAACTTATTTCAATGAGATTGAGAACATGAGACGATGGAGTGCTCATTTGGAAGGGTAGGATGAACTTATTTTCTCCCTTTATTCACCTGTCGCGCCAAATACACCAAACGATGGAGCAAGAAAGTGCGGCCAAGCCATATACGCCCTAAAAATGAGATTTGTATCTTTTCCTCTCATCTTCTTCCCCATTCTTCTCATACCAGTCCTTTTCAAATCTCCCGGCCTTGTCCACTCTCCCCTGTCTTTCTACTGTGTGGCGATGGCGATCCCTCTGTAGGGTACCCCTCCCTTTCTCTCCCACCCTTTTTTTTATCCCGCCCTCCATTCCTTTCATCGTCCCCAAGCCTCTCCTCCTCTCTCATTATTAATTTATTCTCCTTTATTGTTCGCAAGAAAAAAATGGTGTCTCATTAATTGCAGAGTTTGATTTGCTGATTGAAGTTTAAAGATAACTGTTATCATCACTATAATTCCGCCTTCTCAGTTTTTTTTTTAATTTTAAATTTCCTTGATTTTCGCGGACCCAGAAGTGGGAGTAAATAAAAGATTCGATCTTTATCTGTTTTTCCTTTCTTTCTTTCTTTTCTTGGATTGAGTTTAATCGTTTCTGGATCGATGGGCTGTGCCAATTCAAAAAAAGCAGTGTGCGTGAACTGCCACGCGCCGTACTCGCCGGTCCGCCGGAGTATGGAGTGGGATCGGCCGCCGCGGAGAGAGGCCGAGAGCTACTACCACCACCGCCACGTGGTTTCCCTCACTTCCTCCACGTTTGGGTCTCTGCTGCTCGACCCTCTGGATCCGAATCAGAACCTCTTCGACGAAGAAGGCGGAGAAGAATTCTCAAACGAGAAGAAGATTCCGGCGATGTCACCCGGAGCCGGCGAGCCGGAGACCATTAACGCGTGGGAGCTGATGAAGGATCTCGAAGATTGCAACCATGCCGATCACAGTTTCTCCTCCCCTGTTTCTCCCAATCAATGGTCGGACTCGAATTCGACGTCGGGCTCGAACGACACGTCCGTCGGATTAGCGTCGGAATTCGATCCCGAAGTGCTGGAATCATTCCGGAAAGCTCTGTCGGATCTCCCGCCGGCGTCCACTCCGTTGCATCTCAGCCCGCCGGCAACAGACAATCAAGAAACAGGGGAGGCGATACCAGGACGAAGCAGAAACAGAGTGATCTTTTACTTCACCAGCCTCCGCGGAGTTCGGAAGACGTACGAGGATTGCTGCCACGTCAGATCCATCCTCCAGGAACTGGGAGTGAGAGTCGACGACCGAGACGTGTCTCTGCACTCCGGCTTCAAAGAAGAGCTGAAAGAGCTGCTCGGAGAGAGCTACAGATTGCCCGGAGTCTTCTCCGGCGAGAAGTACATCGGCGGAGCCGAGGAAATCCGGAGAATGCACGAGGAAGGGAAGCTGGAGAAGCTATTGGAGCGCTGCGAAAGGGTGGAAGAGAGCGGCGGTGGCGGCGGCGAAGACGGCGGAACGGCCGGAGGGTGCGAGGCGTGCGGGGACATAAGGTTTGTGCCGTGTGACACGTGTTCAGGGAGCTGTAAAATATATTGCCAGGCTGGAAGTGATTCGGATGAGTTTGGGTTTCAACGGTGTACGGACTGCAATGAGAATGGGCTGATTAGGTGTCCAATTTGCTGTGATTAGGGCCCCACCGCCTGATCCTGTTTGTGTGTAAGCCTATTAGCCACGAGAGATTTGGTTCCTTAATTAGACTTGTTTTTTTAGTTGTTTCCATGTTTGTGCAGAAGTACTATGATACTCCCTCGTTACATGTTTTCCCCATTTATAATAATTAATCCACTTAAAACTTTGAAGATAGATTTCCTTAATTCCCTCTTTAATTTAGGTAGCCAATTCAAACATGTTGAGTGAGATTTGAGAATAAGTTGTTGATATCTTAAAAAAATGGATTTATATGTTTTTAATATGAGTGTTTGGTGCAAACATAAATGAGTCAAATTTTACTCAATTATTGGATCAAAACTAAAATCAATAGTCAAGAGTGATTAATGGCTAATGGTAATGGTGGTCATTGCCTTGTTGGCCTATCAGGTTGGCCTATCAGGTGGTGTACAATTGTACATATTGGTTAATTGTGACATTGATGCTACTTGCTAGTTTTTGATTCACAAGTAAAGATGCATGTGAGTGATCGTTGTACTAAAAGATAACAATGAAAAATTCATGCGAGAAAAAAGAATAAAAAGAATAGAGTCAATGCATTATTGAAAACTATTAGTGTTTTTTTACTCGTTTAGGATTTAGAATCAATTATAAGTGAATTTGAATCATCGCTAGCATCTTTGTTTAAAAAAAGCTATAAATTATATACATTACTGAATAAATCAAAATTGTCATGTCATTTAGTGGAATTTTTTGTTAACTAAGTGTTGGGCTTCATCCATAAATGAACGCTTTTTTAGACTTAAGAAAGTAAAATTCCAATTTGATCACATGATTTAATCATAGTCAGCATAGATGGCATCTCCTCCAAAGGAAGTGTAAACTGTCACGACTTGTCTTACAATTCAATTAATCTACTATCATAGAATCATTGGACAACCATGTGATGAGTAAATATTAAATGACAAAGTTTTAATGCTAGCCGGTCGAGCGCCCAAAAGCTCCACCATAAGGAACTCTGTTCATCGGATCTGGGCTTATGGTTTTAAACACGTCGTTTGCTCCTACTTGTGAATTCTAAACTTTTAATTTTTAAATTGATAGCGAGTCTTTTATGTTGACACGAATGGCAGCTCGAGGTGATCAAGACTCCGCACTATGAGAAAGTTACTACTTAGATTATTCTAACATGTCAAAGAAAATTATATTTTTATTATAGTCAGTCCATTAAAATGTAGTCTTATCACTAGAAATGTAATCTTATCACTTCCTCTTAATTGGTTAACCAAATAATTTTGTCACAAAAAATATACATACAATAAATCAAAGTTAAGACCACATACGAAGATTTTATAAATGTGGAAGGGTTACATAATGCTTGAGTGCTTAGATATTGTTTGGGAAAATCATTTGGTGTTTATAGTATACTGTGCACACATCAATTTTTCTTTTCTTTTTTTTTTTGAATTTAGACAACATCAATTTTAATCTCTCTATCCGAAAATAATTTTCTTATTTATTTTTTTCAGTTAAAATTTATAAACTTTGACTCCGATATATGGAAAAATTAGATTTTATTATGATATTAGTTTAATATCAATATGTTACTACTGAAACGTAGTTTTTGAAATATCAAATTTTTATTAAATATATCTATATATAAATATAGATATTAATGGTCAAAGTAAAATATTGGAGACCGTAAAAAGTCGGATGAGAAGAATATTTCGATTAACTAATAAGGTCCTAATGGTCAACTAATAAGGTCTCAATGGTCCTAAACGATCATTAAATAATTTCAAAGAAAAATTATTGTGTACTCCTTCCGTCCCGGAGTATTCGTCCAGTTTTGACTTTTGGAACTATTTATCTAAGTACTTTGACTCATCAAATTCTCTCAATGTGTAAGCCTAAATATAGTCATGTGTGATCTTGTTTGATTTGTCTTAACATATAGATTATTAATATATAATTTTTATAATTTTTTAATATACAAATTACAAGATAAAATCGATTAAAGAAGTGTATTGGATGATGTGTAAAAATGAAAGTAGACAAATATTCTGGTACGGGGTATATTTTCTAAAGTCATAATTGTCAACTCCCAAGCGGCACCACACCAACCCGGCTGGGCATGACACCGCCGTTGTGATTCTCCTCTCTGGCGCCAGCACTACAGTGCTCAGAACAGCTCAAAGATTTCTCCGATCCATATATAAACATAAGAAAATACAAGTTTATACAACTTCTTTGGACCTTCCAGGTTCCCTTCGATGAAGTTTATTACTCCGTATATTTTTCAAATATACTACTCCGGTAGTAAGTGTGAATTTAGGGATCAGGTGGGTTTGTACTGACCCGCTTTTGATCCTTCGGGTTGCAGGATTTCAAATCTTCCCGTTATTGGCTCAAATTGGAAGGATAAACGATCAGAAATGGTGTTGGTTCTTGCGATCGGAGATCTGCACATACCTCACAGAGCCGCCGATCTTCCGGCGAAGTTCAAGTCGATGCTCGTTCCGGGAAAGATTCAACACATACTCTGCACTGGAAATCTCTGTATCAAAGTACACCCGGCGCTTTTTCTTCTCTCTTGATCGTTCCTTTCCCAATCCTATTTTATCCTTGTGTTCCGCTGGTTAATTTTCATTATTGGCAATCCTATTTTACCATTATTGGCCACCATTGCACTACCTTTGTTCAAAGTTGCATTACATTTCCGGTAGAAACAATTAAACAGGCAAAAGAAACAAGTTGAGCGCTGTATCATCTCTGCATCTTCTACTGTTAAGAGATAATGGGATAGGGATTATTTGTTAGGCGATGGCACTGTGAGGTGATACCTGTTAGGGATTTATTGAGCAAAAGAAAGCATATGTATTCACACACAAACCAACATTCACAGACTTATTTGAGCTGAAAAGTAGGTTGCGAGTAGATAAAGAAGAGCACTGTATTTCGTCCTCCTTTGTTGAAAATAGATCGTTGAGCTAGCTTCTGAAATCTGAATGATGCAGCTGCTGTTTAACAGTTTAAGTTTCCTACTAAATTTTAAGGTTTCACATTTAAACCCAAATCCTACAAATTTGGCAATTTACAAATTGAATTGTGGGTTTGGAAGTTAAAAGTTGCTTGGAACTGCATTCTTTAATCCTTGCTATGGCTAAGTGTGTAGATTGGCAAAGATTTTTCTTGTATTCTTTTTGCCTATGCTTCACTTGTAAGTGTAGTTTACCAACCTTCTACATTGAACACACTAAGTTGCTCATTTGCATCCCAAACTACATTTATATCTCAAACTACATTCTAGCACCTCAGTGCGACAGTGCTCGTAGAACTTAGTTTAGAATTAGAATATCTCAATGTAATCTTTTATATTAAACACACTAGGTTTAGCTTGCTGATATGATTGGTAGTGGCAAGACTTTCTAGATTGATCACTAAAGAGTGCTAAAAAGTTCATGCAATATTTATATCAACATTATCAAAAGTTAGGATTCTTATAGACAGTGGCAGATCCAGAATTTTTTTCACTGGGGGCACAACACAAATGTAATAAACATAAATTAAGATTTGAGAACTCACGTAACTCAGGAAGTTATAGACTCAGTAGCTGCTTCTGGGTACCAGAATTCGTTCTTTTTATATTTTCTACTTTTTTAAAGATGAAATCATCTGTCTTTAGTGATTCACATACTCTGTATTATATTGTTTTCAGTTTGAGGTATTGCGCTGTTATTGACTTGAGTGTGTTAATTTTGTATTCTTCCCGACACAGAAATTTGCTTTCTATTGCGGAGTAAATATTTTGTTCCAGATTGAATTATGTTGAGCTTGATCCCAGAACTTCTCGCATGCAGGAGGTTCATGATTACTTGAAGAGTTTGTGCCCTAGCTTGCATATAACTAGGGGCGAGTATGATGAAGAATCCAAGTACCCAGAGACAAAGACTCTCACCATTGGACAATTCAAACTTGGTTTATGTCATGGTCATCAGGTTTGAATTATATAATTTTTCTAGTCATGATATTTTTTACAGAAAGGTTGTTTATATGAGCCCCGCTGGTAAGGGTAATATAAAAATTAAAATGACTAAATCTGTTAAATGGATTAAATTTGCTGAAGTCATGGGTTAGATAGTTGCCTGTGTTGAAATATGTAGATGTATCCGAGTATCTAAAATACACTCCCAGAAATACATTGTATTTGGTAAACTAAAGTATGGACTATTCTGGTCTACATAAATGTGGCCAAATATGGCATGAAACAAACTCTTTGTGAAGGACTAAAACGGCAAGTGGGACGAGCAATAGGGGATAGAGTGATAACATATCAGTGAAGTAAAGAAACAGCTTCTGAAAGGTGATGGTAGAAGTGTTATTTCTTCTCATTTCATCCAAAAAAGTTAACTTCTGCACTAAGGTTTTATTTATTAGTAAAATTATCAGACAATTATGCCGGCATAGTCAATCTGTCAAAGAAGACGCATAGTTTATGCTATCTGGTGAAATTTATTGTGAGGCACTAAAGAGAGGGATGTCTAATAGTGTGTAATGCTGGTGTAATTATTGTGAAGGTGGTTCCTTGGGGAGATCTGGACTCACTTGCCATGGTGCAGAGGCAGCTAGACGTGGACATATTGGTAAGTGGGCACACCCACCAGTTCAAGGCATATAAACACGAGGCTGGAGTTGTGATCAACCCTGGCTCTGCAACCGGTGCTTATAGTAGCATCACCTATGACGTGAACCCCAGTTTTGTTCTCATGGACATTGATGGTCTCCGTGTGGTCGTGTACGTCTATGAGCTCATTGATGGAGAGGTCAAGGTCGACAAGATCGACTTCAAGAAGACTGCTGCACCTGCATCTCAACAATCCATTTGATTCTAAACATATCTGCTCAAACTGTCGCATGCTGTTTTTTCTCTCGTAAAGAGTTTGAATTTGGAGCTTTTTACCCAGTTTGATCAATACTAGGACGTGTTTTTTCGTATTCAAACAACGTGTAATCGATGCTACAATTATTACTAACAATGTTGGGAGTATGTTGCAATTTAGTCATCAACTTATAATGATAGAACTTTATGGAGAAGGATATTTATATATCAGCAAGCTTATGTTCTACTCTGTATTCTACCTTCACTATTTAAATCTTATCCCTTTAATTTTTGCAAAAAATAATGAATATATGGGTTCTCTATAGATACATGTACTCACGCTTATGCCAAGTTATGACTGGCTATTTTAGTTAACAACTGATCATGACATGAGGATGGGTAATTTTTTGTTGTTGTTGAGGGAATGAGTAGTTGAATATACAGAATCATCATGGGCAACCATGTAATTCTCCATTGCAGAAATGTTGTTGGTGAGTAAGGGTAAACTATGCGTCTATGCTAAATATAAGTCCTCTGCAAGTATTCAGATATAGATTTCATCTTTTGTCATCAGTTTGTGATTACAGTTCAATTCATATCTTCTCAAGTGACCGGTATTTTTTCTTTATTTATAATGTTTTGTTCATCTTGTCTAAATCCAGAAATTATTATGGTTAAAAATGAAAATTCAAAAGGGAAAAATGTTAAACTGTCAAAGGTGAATTTTTGAAATTTATTTAGATAAGAAAAAATATTTAAAGAAAAAAAAAGGTGACATTTTTTTATTTACTCCCGTATTAAAACAAGCCAAACACGCCTTTTATCTCTCTCCACTTCTCTCCCTCTTGGGACTCTAAGGCATATGGCCAGATAGCGCTTGAAGAAGGATCCGACGCTCAGACCGAAACCCGTCACCTCTCCCTCTACGGAGCACTGTGTAAGGGTTTCATCTCAATCTCACGAATTCCTTTCAGATCTATATTCCGGTCCCGATCACCGGCGAGACAAGAAAAATGTACGGATTCGAAGCGCTCACCTTCAACGTCCATAGTGGATATCTGGAGGCGATCGTGCGGGGCCACAGAGCTGGTCTGCTCACCGCCGCCGATTACAACAATCTCTGCCAGTGCGAGACCCTCGATGACATCAAGATGCACCTCTCCGCCACCGAATATGGACCTTACCTTCAAAACGGTCAGTTCAGCTATCTATTCTTAATTGTCATCTCCAGATTCAAATCTTAATTTCAATGTGATTGTGTTCAGTACCTTTCAGTAATGTATGCTGGTTCGAGATTGATCTGGAATTTATACTTCACGTGCTTTAGGAGAATTTAATCAAATCGTTCCTCTTCAGGTTCAATAGGGAATTCTACTTAAGCGGATGTATTTTCTTGCTGATGGCTTCGAATGCACACTTTGATATGATTTTATTGCTATAATTATAGAATTCATTAGTCATTCGGGTGGCTGTTGATAAATGTGCAGTGATCACTAACTCTAGATAGTTCATCTATTAGCTCTGTTTGCTTATCTATGATAAAACTGTTTTCAGGCGCTCACAGTTATTCTACTTATGACCTATTGTCGATCCTTTGTTCATGTGCCTTTTTTTTGTAGTCCTTTTCAGAGATTCTAATGATATTTGTGCTCTTGTTGATCTCAGAACCCTCTCCTCTACACACAACTACGATTGTGGAGAAATGCACTCGTAAGCTTGTAGATGAGTATAAACACATGTTATGCCAAGCTACAGAGCCATTATCAACCTTTCTTGAGTACATCCGGTATATGAACTGTAACTTTGTCTTCTCTTTTATAAACCATTTTCCACATTTTCTTTACCTTCTTGTGAATAAATCGGTACATGACTAATGTTAACTTTTTTTTAGTATTAGGGACCTGCCTTCATTAGTGACTCACTGCTTTAATGCATTCATTGCTCTTAGAATTTGACTAATCATTGACAATAATGTATCATCTGCCTTTCGTGCATTGTAACAAAAGTGGGGTAGATGTATAAAGATTGGAATACAAGATCTAAATCTCTGTAGTCTTTTGTTCATCCGGCTTAACTTGTCCAGTATTACACATGGTTCAGATACGGTCACATGATTGACAATGTTGTCCTAATTGTAACTGGAACATTGCATGAAAGAGATGTTCAGGAATTGTTGGAGAAGTGCCACCCTTTGGGCATGTTTGACAGGTACTGTTCATAGTACACATTTGATATCATGATGATTTATATGGGATCTTTAGTAATCTAGAAATCACCAATTCTAATTTGTGTTGCTTATACAGCATTGCCTCATTAGCAGTGGCACAAAATATGAGAGAACTCTACAGGCTAGTGCTTGTTGACACTCCATTAGCTCCATATTTCTCTCAGTGCATTACTTCTGAGGTAGCATAAAGTTTGGCTTTTTAAATTTATTTTACCTTATTTACCTAACTAATATGGATTATCTCTTTATTGTTTTTCATATCTTCTCAAGTTTTGGCATTTTTTTGTCTAACTATGAGAATCTTGCGTAACCTCCTATTTGTAAAACTGAAGGGGTGGGGTGGAGGGTTGTGATACTATCTAAGTATTCAATTACTTGTAGTATTTCGTCTATGTTTAAATAAATGCAACATCTAGATTTTCACATTTGTCAATACGTAAAGTAAATCATCAATATTTCCAATTATGTTTTGGTAAAAATTATAAAAGTTGATGTTACAGATGTTTATAGTGAGATGAATGTAACTAGATCCCAATTGACTATATTTTCTTCATGTATACATCACGAAATATAATAAAATGTGAATGAATAGTGTTAAATCCTCCTCCATTGCTCTTATTTAAGAACGGAGGAAGTATTACTTTACATGTGGTTTGCCATTCTGCAGGACTTGGATGACATGAATATTGAGATCATGAGGAATACCCTGTACAAGGCATACCTTGAGGATTTTTACAAGTTTTGTCAGGTATCAGCCATATAGAATATCTGACATATCCATAATTCGTACTTTTAGAAGTTCGCCTTTTTCCCTTCATCTAATAAGATAATTTTCTAATAGAAACTGGGTGGTGCCACTGCCGAGATCATGTCCGACTTGCTTTCATTTGAGGCCGACAGGAGAGCTGTTAATATCACCATAAACAGGTGTGTCATTAGTAATTTGTCTTTGATTTTCTTCTCAATAGTATGTTCAATAAATATGCAATATTAGGATGATTGAACAGAATTCTTCTCCAACCTTTTACTATATGTTTTATGAAGCTATTTCTAAAACATCTGTTCTCCTATATCTGGATTCCTCTGAAGGCTTAGTACTTCCTCCCTTGGTAGTGTTGCCCCTATATTTATGAGCATTTTATTTATGTTTTGATTGTTTTTATGTGAGTTTTATGCAGCATTGGCACTGAACTTACCAGGGAAGACCGTAAGAAGTTGTATTCAAATTTTGGTCTACTGTAAGTATCATAATTTTGTTCTCTTTCTCTCTCTCTCTCTCTCTCTCTCTCTCTCTCTCTGTGTGTGTGTGTGTGTGCGCGCGCGCGCGCGCGTGCCTGTATTTCTTCTAATTTTTTGTTTTTATCAAATAGTTACCCCTATGGTCACGAGGAACTTGCCATATGTGAAGATATTGATCAGGTATGTGCATTCAATTTCATGCGCTTACCGATCTCATTTGCTTTCTCCTTCTGTACAATTTCTCCCCACTTCCTCTTTTTCCATCGATAAATGTTTACTCTATTTGATGAACTGTGCTACAATGCCTATTGTCTCACTAGAACTGTTTAATGCTCAGAATTTCTGTTTGGTCGTCTCTATTTTTCCAGAGTTTGCACTAATTTTCCATAGCACTTGTTTTTTTGTTTTTGTTTGCATGCTGCTGTAGGTTCGTGGTGTCATGGAGAAATACCCTCCATATCAATCTATATTTACTAAATTATCCTATGGGGAGAGCCAGATTCTTGACAAGGCTTTCTATGAAGAGGAAGTCAAGCGTCTATGCCTGGCTTTTGAGCAGCAGGTACATTCATTTCTCAAGTTGTCAAATGTCATGGTAAAACCGTAACATTGAAAATGTCGCTTAACATAATCATTGGGGATAAGGTTCATAATTTAGGATGGACCCCAAGAAATTTGTGGTACCCCATCCTTTTGAACTAAAACAAGCAATTTGATTCAAATACGCTTACACAGTGAGCATAACAACTTCAAGATTGGTTTGTTTTAACGAGCCCACCATCATGTTACGAGGCATGCTAAGCTCTACATATTAGACTTTATGCTATGTTTATCGTGTTCACTGTTATGCTAGAACCACAATTCTTAATAATCTTAAATATTCTGTTCATATTTCCGCATTGCATGCTTATCGTAATATAATGATATTTGTTTTTTTTGGGTATGTAGTTCCACTACGGGGTATTTTTTGCGTATGTGAGGTTGAGAGAGCAGGAAATCAAGAACTTGATGTGGATATCTGAATGTGTGGCTCAGAACCAAAAATCCAGAGTCCATGACAGTGTTGTTTTCATATTTTAAAAAATTCTTCACAATACAAATTTGTATTCATCATCATCATCATCCATATAATCTTCTTTCTGTAAGCTTAATTTGTTCTCCAAGGGCTTCTTTTTGAGTTCATAATAATTATAGAAAGAGACATTGTTCCTCCTACCCTGTAGCAATTGCTCAATAAGTTGATGTGTGTATAAGGTTGAATCCTCAAGTCTTAAATCTGCTGTTTGATTTTATTATTTGTATCACAATTCGTTGTTATTATTACTCTGTATTATCTAGTGTTGGTTAAAGCTACTATTTTGAAGGCATGAGCGTTGTGTCTCTTCATTTACGGAGTATATCTTACTTGAATACCCCCTATTGTTAGATCAGTTTAGGCTGTTAACTTATTTTTTTCTGCTTATTACTTATTTTTATTATAATCAGACTAGATCAAAAATAGTTTTAGTTATAACTGCAATCAGATAAGATAAGATCATATTTTCAAAAAATTAGATCAAATCAGAGGATAAATGTGAGGTCTACTAAGAACATGTGCAATGGCAAGGAAGAAGGATGCCTTGCTTGGTGAGGCATGAGTGGCACTTCATACTACTTTTTTTCTTTTTTTAAAAATAATTTTTTTTAAAATTTTTTATGAAAAAAAATGTACAAGAAAGTAGAATAATTTTTTTAATAAAATAAATAATAAAAATATTTTTTATGTTTAAAAAACATAAAAAAATGTAAAAAAGTGATAAAAAATAATGATTTGCCATTGTAGGACTTGTCACTCCATTTACTTGTCACAATTGGACTATTTTTGATTGGTTAAAATGTTCTATGTCATCGTGCGGCATTCCATTTTCGCCTTGCCATTGTTGATGCTCTAAATGCACCCCAAAACTTCATTGTATCGTTGGAGTTTGCTTTTGGAACTTTCATCAATTCCAATGATCTCATTATTAAATTACGGAGTATTTCTTAACAAGGGCGTGACAACATTCTGAAGGTAAAACATTGTCTTTATATATTTTGTGGTGTTTCTCGATTCTTATAAGCTAGTCAAAATTGCTTATAAGCAGTTTTTAATTTATAAGTCAGTTGATGACATGTTTTTGTGTACTTATAAGCCGACTTATAAGTTGTTTATATGTCTGGAAAAAAGTACGTCTTAGCTTTTTATTTTTAAGTAAGATTTCCCGTTTCTCCGTTTGATCAAATTATTTACAAAATTACCCCTCTCCATTTATGAATATATACAAATGATTTATCTATCATTTAAGTCATTTTACTTTCGCGAAAGAATATTTGACTTATAAACAGTTTATAAGTTTAAAATTGCTTATTAACAATAAGTCAATAAACACCAACACAGAAAATTACCCCCTTTATTTACATGAATTCATGTCGCTAATTCTTTTTTTTACAATTAATTAGGACTATACATTTAGGTTTTATTACTCATTGTTTGGGAGGAGGTGGAGAATCCCCCATGCAGGCATGCAGTAAAGGTCATGACTTTGCCAAATCAATAAAAACCTTGCCTCAATTATTTGGTCATATTTTTATTCACTTTATCCCTTTTCATTATTCACTCAATATAATACAGAATAGTATAACAGTAATCTTTTGTTTTGCAAAACTTTTGATATAAATTTTTTAATTTCATATCAATTTTCAAAGAACTGAAATTGAAAATAATTACAATCAAACATCACAAACAACAACCGGCAACTTAAAGATATTATATAGATATACATAGAGTAATAAAATGTGGATGGGGGGATTTCTCGAATGAGATTGTAGTGATTTTCTTGATGCTCTGTCCGGGAAAGTGCTGTCAAGATATTAGATATAGCATAAGATATTATACAGTAAACATAGATATATAAAAACAACACACGCCGTTTGAAAGAAATACGAAGTATTATACTCCACATGCGCATTACTCTTAGAATGGAGAAATATGTCATGTCATGAAGAAAACCACATGGGCAACAACAACAACAACAAAACACTTTCTTATCAAATCTCAATACAGAAATGAGCCAATGCCAATGCTGTTTGAAGCTCATTTCCTGCTAATCCACTGTTGCCCATCACTACAAAACTTTCTTTCAGCCATAACAAGTGAAAGTTTTGAACAAGGGAGCGAACGATCAGTGAATCAAGAGACCTTGAGTAGCTCATGAAAAGCTTCTTGAGGAATATCAACAGAGCCGACACGCTTCATGCGCTTCTTCCCCTCTTTCTGTTTCTCCAATAGCTTCCTCTTTCTAGTCACATCCCCACCATAACACTTCGCAAGGACATTTTTCCTCATGGCCGATACCCTAAACCCCCAAATATTTTTCAGATTGTGAACTTAACTCTTTAAACCCTAGTTTTTACTAATTGAACGATTATATATATTTTCCGCTCAAACAAAAGCAAATCGGAATACGTTTTCTTGAAACAAAATCTTCTTAACAAACGGAGCCTTGGTTCTAGATAAGAGAAGGAAATAAATACTCACGTTTCCCGCGCAATAACCTTTGATCCAATAGCAGCTTGTATGGTAATTTCGAACATTTGCCTGTAAAGAGAGAGATAGATGTACAAGCAACTCAAACAAACAAAAAACAATGAAATATACACAGTAGTTTCAACCAGTAAGACCTGTCGATGAACTTCTTCAGCTTATCCAAAAGTTCACGGCCAACACGTGGCGCTTTTGATTTATGAACAATAGTAGCCATTGCATCAACTGATTGTCCGTTTAAGAGGATATCAAGTTTCACTAAATCAGAGGCCTGATAGCTGTAAAAGCAAATGTGTTGATGAATATTAATTAAAAATGTATCTCATCAATGCATTTAAGAGTGTGCACTGAAAGGCTTATTTCATGGAATTTAAGTGCTCATAGAGGAAGAAAGGCACATTCACTTCGAAAAGAAGCATTTGGCAGAAAAACAAAAAATGATTTTAACAGAAAGAAAACACCTTATAATTATATTAACGAAATCAGCACATTGGGGCTTTTTCAAAAAACCAAGTGCTTGAACGAAAAAAAGAAAAGCACATATGATAAAATAACTTAATAACTCATACCATAGTTATCCAAGACCAGATCTAAGTAGACATTAGTGACTATGGGGGAGTTATGTAGGAGAGATTTGGAATCGGGACTCACTCAGCATCCTCGTAATCAAATGTAGCATAACCCGATGTTATACTTTTCAATTCATTGTAAAAGTCGACAACAATTTCCCTCAATGGTAGACGATACTTCATAAGCGCTCGTTGACTGCACAAGTAGACATTGGAAACAGTGATATGCACCACAAATGCAAAACTACTTTTCACACACACTAAAACATTCTGCCTAAAAAAAAGTCAAATTCCTAGGAGGCATCACCCAAAACACCAAAGATATCTTATTCCTGGCGTAGAAGCCCCATTCTTGAGACTCTCAGACATGAATTAATCTAGGAATTTAAAAAAAGAAGTACCTATCAATGAATGAGTACTCCAGTTGATCCCCTCGACGCTCAGCACATAGAGTTATAATAGGACCCACAAACCTTCAAGTAGAGGAAAATAAAAGTGAATTGCACTTTGCTATTATTTGATATTCCAAGATACAGCAAATTGGCAAAACGCCAAAATCGCTTAGTATTGTGAGAAAAAAATCAAGATGAAGTACAGCTTGCAGTTCATGAGAGCTTACTCACTAGGAATAATAATTGTGGCTAATACGGTAGGTTCCCAGCAAGAAATTAATCTCTGTTTAGGATTTGAAGGAATGTTTGCAGGATTCTGAACTTCTATTTTGCTGATAGACAAGATTAGGAAAGGCTCAATCAGGTTAATAAACTGAAGTTTAAAAGGTAGTTACAAATATTTTCTGTGCCACTCTACCTTCCATCTGAATACTCAAAAATATATGGAACAGTTGGAACAGTGGAAATGACGTGCACGCCATGTTCCTGTCATTAAAGATACAAAACAATGATAATAGGATAAGAGTACAGTGAAATGCAAAGACCTGTAAAGCTATAAGTTGAGAGAAGATCATCCCTCTGTGTCTATTTATTTATTTTCATGGACCCCTCTGTTTAATTTTTAATAAAAATTGGAAGGTAGCAATAGATCAAGTCTCTTCTTGTGTTTACTTATAAGCTAGCTATAACTGTTGCCAGCTACAGTTGATAGCAACAAAAGGTGACTCGTTAACCATGACAATAAGTTTACAACTAGTTTATTGGTGCTGCCAAATTTAGTTGGCCTTTTATGTTATGTACTGGAAATCTTTGTATCAAAGAACGATGTAGTTGTCATGGTCACCACATTTTTTATGTTAAATGTGTGTTCGTTATGGCAATGTTGATGGCTTGATGATCAAGCGAAACACAAGATTTAAGTGTAAAACCTGCTCAAGACGTTGATGAAAAACATCCATGTGAAGTAAACCTAAGAAACCACACCTGTTAGCCGGGATAGAAGAACACGAGTTCAAAATGTTGAAGAAATAAAAAAGAATCTCAACAAAGTTCCTAATGCAAGGTATGTGCAATATCCCACACCTGAATCCCAGACCTAGAGCTGTGCTGCTTTCTTTAGCAACAGACACACTGGCATCATTGCAAGTCAATCTCTCTATTGCATGGCTGAGAGCCTCAAAATCAGACCCATCTGCGGGATATAGACCAGAAAAAACCATGTGTTTCGCAGGTTTGAAACCTTAACATACATACAAAAATTACACAGGTCAGCAAAGGACTGAGCTAAACAAAAATACGAAGGATGTACAACAACCCAGTAAAATCACATGAAAGTAGGGGTTAGGGAGGGTGTGTGTACGCAGACGTAAGCTCTACTTGAAAGTAGAGAGAGAGAGAGAGGTGGATTAATTCTGAAGATAATAATTATTGATTTACAGCTTTAATCTTTTAAAAAGAAAATTGCAAAATGGGTCCCGCAATGGAAAAAGGTGAAAAGATAAATAAAGAAAAAAGTTTGAAAATAAGAAAGTAGAGTTTAAATTAGGAAAGTGAACATATTTTTGGGATGGATTAAAAAGGAAGGTGTCTCTAACAAGTAACAAAATGGGAGGCAAGTTTAAGTTTTTGAGAAATACCTGGAAGAGGCTCTACAGTGGTCCGACTATGATAAAGAGTGTCCCCAACACGAGCCTCTTTAGTTGAACGCATGCCACTAACAATGTATCCTACTTGACCAGTTAGAAGAACTCCTGTGGGCACTAGTTCTGGGTGCATGATACCAACATCTAAAACCTCATAAGTTTGGGAGGTTGCAGCAGATGAAATTTTATCACCTTTACGCAG